TTTCAATAAACAGAAAATTTAAGATTAAGATGCTTTGGAATGATGGAAATAAGGGAATGCCCACAACACCTGGATTTAGTCAGATCTAATTTGAGGGATTTTGTAGGTTCATTAACGAGGGCTTGACATATCAATTTGAATTTATCTCAACATGAATTCAAAAATACCATTAAAAAGTTCTATTTTGGATTCAAGATAATCATATTTTTAAGATGATATAAAAAAAAAGAGTTTTGTCCATCAATTGACCTCTCATAACTTGAACTTATCTTTAATATTAATATCTTTTGTGTTATAATTGGAACATTGATGTAAAGGGAGAGAAGTAGCACCATGATACCATGGTATCCATCTCTTCTTTTTTATGATGACAAAGGGAGAGAGAGAGCAGTAGCTTGCACATTTCAAAGAGAAATAGTAACTTGCACATTTCTCTTTTTTATTGATGACAAATGGGGAGAAATTAGTTATACTCTTTGATGACATAAAAAATTATGATGTTGTGGAATTATGCATATGATATATGTAATGATTACTTTGACATTTAACTATGTATAAAAGTGTGCAATGATTATTTTTGACATTTTAACTATGATGTTTTACATATGAACTTCACAATAATTATTATTAAAACTCACTATGATTTCTTATTAAAATTCTTTTGACTTGAATTCAAAGAGTAGCATTAAAAGGTTATCATTTTTTTAAATTTTGAGTTTATTTCAAAATGACATATAGATAGGGGGAGTTTAGTTAAAACTTCGTCATCAATTGGTTGTCATCATCAAAAAGGGGGAGATTGTTGAATCCCGGATTTTAATGATGAAATCAATTGATGAGTTTATGGACTAATAAGTGTTTGAGATAAGTAACGTAGGAGAAACTTCGATCATGGACTTGAACCATCGAAAGACAAATCGTTGAAGCAAGAAAATCAGACGTTAGGCTAGAGAGCATCATGTCAAAGATTGGACGTCGGGCCGAAGAATTAGTTGACGTGCCAGAGGATGAACTTTGTGCCATGAGTTCAAGCATCGGGCTAGAAGGATCGAGTATTAAGCCAAGAAGATCATGTGGAAGGTCAACATGCTGATAGATTGGGCAATACGTCGAAGGAAAGGATAATGCGTCGAATGTTCGGACAAAGTGCCAAATGAACAAATGATATGTTGGACAACGTGCTGAAGGCTTCATGATTGTAATTAGAGATGTTAAATTTTGATCGAAGTCGTTTAGAGTCTAATTGAATTGGTTTTGGGGCATAATTATGCTAACTTGATTAGGAACCCATTAGGTTTGAACCAGGGTCAAATTGGGCCAATTAGAAGGCCAATTTAGTGACCTGGGGTTGGGCTAGGTGGTGGCACCATCAGGCTCAAGCGATGGTACCGCTTGAGAGCTGGAAAGCACTATTTGTGCTTTTCCCGGAATCCTAGCGGTAGTACCGCTAATGTTAGCGGTAGTACCGTTAGTGCCGATGGTAGTATTGCCCAAGTGACGATGGTACTACCTAGGTCTGCGGTGGTATCGCAAGAGCCCAGATTCCAAGCTTTATTCGGTAGTAGTACCACTAGTACCTTGAAATCTTGAGGATTTGAATTTTTGACTCTATTTTTGAAGCTATTTAGGTCTATAAAAACCTCACTCATGCTTGCTTGATGGAGTAGAAATTCTTAAGCGTAAAAGTGTTGTAAACTCTCTTGAAAAGTGGTTGAGTCTCTTCCTCCTTGAGTGTAGAGGTTATACTAAGGAGGTGTGAGGTCTTACGTAAAAGAGAGGTATAATAGTTCTCTCCTAAGCCTGTTAAAAGGAGAAGAGAGGTGTAAAGGTTCTCTCCTAGACCTATGAAAAGGAGAAGGGTTGTAACAATGGTAGTTGATCTTCACCCATTGAAAAGAAGATCGACAGTGAAAATCGATAGCCTCGAGAGAAGAGGAATCGGGAGTGGACATAGGTTGGGACAATCGAACCACTATAAATCGGTTTGCATCCTTTTCTTGCTTTCCCTTATCATTACTTACTGATTTACTTACTACCCTTACTCATATTTTTAGTTAAACATATTTTTGATATGGGTTTTTTCAATCTCATCGCCCCCACCCCCCCTTAATCAAGCTAGTGAGGATAGTAAAATCTTTAAGAGAAAAAAATATTATTATAAAACATACTAAAGGCATCATCAAGCTCAAACTCCGAGCTTAATATGCCATGTGATAACTTCTTGAGTTCGGTGATAGTACAAGTATAGTAATGGTGGGTGCGATACACAATAATATTTCTAATTTTGACAATAATTATGAGATAAATACTAACAACTTCAATGTCAATGATAATTGTGGAGTAGGCCTTTTATCATGATAAGATGCATCCTAGATGAAATTGAATCGAGAATGACCCTCAAATCACTTGAAGCTTAAGCATAAATCAATGTTTGAACAAAGATGATAAGACGAAATTAGGAGATCATCCACGAAAATGGTAACCTCCTATTCGACATATCAATTGAAGGAATGATCAAAATGTCCAACACTAAAGTGATTAAAAATTTATAATTTTGCTCAATCTGATATCAACTTTTTTACATCTACTTTTCCAAATTTTAAAAATAAAATTATAAATTATATATATATATAAATTTTTTATATTAAATAATAATAATAATAATAATACTATCGATTCAAATCGAAACCAAACCGAAACCAATCGAATCGGAATGAAAACTGGCACTTGCCGGTTCAGTTCCAATTTCTTGGAAAACTGAAAATTACTTATTTCGAAACCATAGTCATGGCTTTTGAAGACGGTGGTCAAAGGTCGTACTTTTGTTAAGTATTAAGACAAGTATAATTATTTGAATTGGGAGTGAAAAGGGTATTTATCATGATCATGATAATTTTTGGATAGATAATCTACTAGGGTGCAAAACAAAGCAATCATCTTATTTTAATTGCAGGGGAAGGATGTATGACACAAGTCAAACGCGAACGTTTTTGCATCTTCACATTAACACCACGACCAGTTGACTTGTATTTGAGAGACGTAACAAATCATAACGTTTCGACAAATCTGGACCAAACTTTTCTTAGCCAAAAAAAAAAAGAAAAAAGTCAACTCCTATACGAGAGACGTAACACATCATAATGTTTCGACAAATCTGGACCGTACTTCTCTCAGTAAAAAACAAAAAGAGGCGGGACAACTAAATGCTAACCTTTTCCCAACCAAGGCATTAGGGGAAACTCTCTATATTATACTTCACTCTTCTCTGTTTCTCTTTCATTTTAGGATGTTACATAGCTCGTTCTATCTAATTCGAGCATCGAATAAGATTGTTAGTTGGTCGAGATGGGTGCACATCGACAACCTCAAGTTATGACTAAATTGATGGAAATGGACCCACCATCTTATAGATGGATGATATCTACCTGATGCGATGGATCAAGTGACGCCCCATCACTACTAATATTGTTTTTTCAATTGATGCCAAAAGTTAAAACATACTTAATGGTACCTGTTCCTTGATGCACGTGGGACATGAACCATCCGCTACTAAATTTCTCACTTTGAAGCCTTCCTTTTCTCCACATGATACCTCTAGTAGTACTGTAGGCCTTAGAAGGCCTAGCAAATGATTCTCCTTCCAGTGAGGAGCCATACCTAATCATCCTGCATTAGGTGGGACATTATTTCCCATATTATCAAGTTCCAATAGGATTTTGATGATCATAAACTCAGTTGATGAGTTGGTTAACAATGGTTTGTGGAGTGCTTGACTTTAGACTTTCATAACCATTAAATTTTTGTATGAAATTTCAATATGATCAAGCTTAAATTTAAGCTACTCTACCAATGCTGCGAAATAAGATGGACCATCATGCTCATCCTAAATGCCTAATCATTTCACCTCAACTTTGAGCTCGTGGTATTAAATTAGTTGCATTGAATTATGAGCATATAAATGGCACATCTCATGTATGACAGTCAAGAAGAAAATGACAAAAAGAATACTGCCTTGTGAGCCAGTGTGTAATTATAAAGAACAAAAGCATTGTAGAATTTGAAGTTGACTAATTAAGTTGCCAAGATTCTTTGTGGACTTTTTGTGTTATAGATCAAAAAAGCAAATCAAATCAAGTGTAATTTGGCAACTGTAGCAACCATGGCAAGTGTAGAAGATGACTTTCCCTACGCCTCTTAAGGTTTCTTGGTTTGACCATAAAATGCTAGATGACCTTGGGTCATCGATAACATGAATGAGGATAAAGGTGATCTGTCACCATACTACAAAATCTTCTATGAGATTGTCTTCTTCATGCCCTTATTCCTTTAGTATTTGGTACTACATATAACTTGGTTTTCAGGAACAGTATGGGAAAAGGACATGAAAAGTTAGTCGGCAGTACAACTGTGTAGGACATAATTGCTAGTATAACATAGTTGCAACCTAATGGGGCACAAATCTGCCACAGCTACAAATTGTCAGGGACTAAATCAATCAGAGATGTGCAACTTCCTACAATTACAATGTTTTGGTTACTTGCATATTTCTCAGCACAGATTTGCTAGTTCTTCAACTATTTCCAAGATGAATTTTCTGAAGCATGCAATGGAGCCAAAACTCAATACTCTACCTCTAACAGGTAACTTTTACAGAGGGAATGGACCCTCGTAGGCCCACTCAATCAACAACACCATAACCTTCATTCTTCCATTGACATGCATACTAACAACTTATCGAAGCAGATAAATAAAACAAACTACCTAAGCATTGTGATAATCATAATCAGGCTATCTAAATAAATTCAGATACGATGGCTTGTGCAAATGAAGTTGTTCTAAGTTATATGAATTGCTACCATGTAATGTAAAGATGTGATTTATATTAAAAAGACTTGTATGTCACCATTTTTCAGTTCTTCAAACATACACAACCTCAGCTATCATTTTCCTGTTCCTACTGTTCATCCAATCTCAGTCACCAGTGCATTCACAAGACCAAATGATAAATTCAAATCACCAATTAATATGAATGTGATGACAAAAGGGCTCTTAACTTAAGAATCTTCCATGTAGGAATACAAAAGGAATCACCTTGAGAAGAATGATGCTATTACTTCATGAGTGAGACCATCAGGAACCCAGGCAATAGCACAATCGAAAGCAACAAGTAATCAGCTTCTCCATAGTCGAGATATTGTTGCTGGAGCTGTGACAACAGTAGATCGCCAATTATTATGACACATATATGCAAGAGTTCTACATTATATTACAGATACAAGAATCCCCATACTCATCCTCTGAGTCGCTTGAATCACTGTGGACAAGAAAATAAAACAAACAGAAGCAATTCAGAACAGACGGATAGCCAAAAGTGTTCTTTTTCATAAATCTCTACAAGAAATGTAAAATTCAGGACTAATGGAAGGAAAAAATTATCAAAATATGCTACCAATACAATCAAGACATCCTATTTTCGATTACATAATGCATCAAGTCAGAATAAGAGAGAGCACAATGTCAGCAGATAATTGAGAGGATGCTGTCTCTGACTTCTAATTAATGAACAAGCTGAAGAGTGTGTTACTATGTCTTCAAATTATAAAAAAGATGGAGAGCTACTGCTGATTGATACTATTGTTGCAGAAGTACAAAAAAATATTGATTATTAAACAGGTTGCATATCCGAAGGTGGGAGATTTCCAGAATTTTTAAATAACAAAATAAGGAGTTTGCCTTTTATTGGGAACTAAAATTCTTCCAGAATTTTTAACTAACAAAATAAGGAGTTTGCCTTTTATTGGGAACTAAAATTCTTCTCCTAGAAGCCACTTTAATTCTAAGGCTATGACATTATTCTTTTGCAGGTGGTGCAAGTGATCATCCTATTGTTATTGATGAAGCAACGATCATCCAGCAACAGATCCAAGTTGATGAAGGGATGTCGTTTATCATGTTCATAGTTTTGATCAATTTTAATTTCTTCTTTGGAATGTATTATGTATTGTTTTTTGGAATGATTCTTCATTAGGTCTATCCTTTCTTTTGGACTCGTAGCAGATGTATCTGAAGTGGAAAGTTTCCTGTTTCTTGTGTTATTTATTCCATTTCCTTTTCTCCTTGTTCTTCTTTTAATAACTCATCTTTGATGGCCAGTCAATTAATTTTACGGTGAGATATACAGCTCACAAAAGGAGGAAAATTATCCATTATCCAGAAACAAATACAGAAGATGATTTATGCTTTGACTTATATTTAAAGAGCTCATTGAATGTTTCAAACTGAAAATGTTTTCAGAAATAAGATCAAGAAAATATAAGCCTGCAATTTTATGTTTCAAACAAGTCATGAGTGTCTGAGAAAGAAGTTTCGATGCATTACATACAATAAGTTTATCATAAGAAGTCATATATGCATGTGTAGCAAAGAGAATTTTAGTTTAATTGACATCTCAGCAAGGACAAAGAATTAAAAGGGAAAATGTCGTACAAGAGAATCTCATGTACATATAGGATATGCTTGTTCAACCAAATACAATGAGATGGATGAGATAGAAGGCTTTGATCAAGCAAACCAAATTTGCTAGATCCTTTAGGCATGCATATAAAGCTATCACGAAGGCACAGTAATAGGGTAGGAACAACAAGGATCATGAAGTGTTAAGAGGAAATGAATATGAGAGGATCTCTAACCTTGGCTCGAATTCCAGCACTTCGACGAGCTTGTTGCCATTGCGATCATTCCACTGGACTTTCCTCCTCGAACTCTTCTGCTGCTTTCCTTCTAAGCCTCCATTCACAGACGATGACGTTAGAAGAGAGTCCGTCTCCCTGTCCTCCCCCTCCTCATCAGAAAGTCCCTCGTCCTTAGTATCCGGAACAGCTGACGGCTTGATTCCATCGCAGATATCAGCGTCCACTCCACGCACATCCATCTAAATCCACAACACCCTTTTCTGGAACTCAATCCACCCACCAAGGCAACAAGAGCTCGAGATCTTGATCTATCGGCCGGGAAGAACGCAAGAAATTCACCAAGCTATAATCTTCTTCGAACATCAGCGAAACCAAATCCAAGAACAACACAACTTCAACTCCTCGTCGCCTAAACAAATAAGAGGAGCCCAAAACAGTCTGACCCAGAGGCGAATTCGGCACAAGGGTTAACATGAAAGGGCAAAACCGATGCTTTTGTTCAGGAATGAGAGGGATTCGGAGAAAACATCATTCGTGAAGCCGACAGTACCGCGATGAGAAATCAGAAGGATTCGATTCTTGGGAATCCACGAAGGAAATCGACAGAAAATGGAGGAATGAGGAGGCGACGCGGGAGGTGGAAGAAGTTCTCCGCGCACTCACCCTTGTGTACAGCTACGCACGCAATCCAGCGACGGCCACCGGAACCAAAACTTCCCCCTTTGTTTTCTCCCTCTCTCTCGAGTGGGGTCCATTTACCTGCATGTTCTGGGCCGTCCGATCGCCATCAGGCCCAAATGGTGCGATCGTCGAGTTTGTCTTTGGCGTCCTTCAACAATTTAGAATTTTTTACCACCGCCAATGGAGTTCACTAGTAATATGAAGTTGAATAATAAGTCCATTAATTTTCGTTATCCTCGGTTGACTTGACTTCCGAGAAATGGAATCTTGCTCGCTTGTTTGTGATAAAGTAGCCTACCATCGAAATGTGTCTCCTTGTTTTTGGACGTTGATTCTGACTAGAAGTCCAATCTTTTTTTATACTGATATTAATGAAAGTCTTTTTTAAAAGAAGAAGGAAAATTTTAATTATTTTTTTATTACCTCCTAAATCGGTGTAATTTGTGTAATTAAAAAGGGGGAACAACATAATTTGCACCTTTTGATTAATGTGCTATTAATGGTGTCGAGTGGATCGAACTCGAGCCAGATTACATCATTGCTTACATCGAGAATGGCCCCCACTCCTCCTTCCCGGTAATCCAATCGACCTTAGGTCATCTTGATAGGGATGGTGGTTACGACCATCTGGTGTGGGGTGGGGCCACGATGTGACCATATTGAATTTTCCGGTTTTGAAGGGTACACAACCGAACACACACGGAGCAAAAAGTGTGTTTTGCTGTGCGTTTGTCCGAGGCATTCGCGGGTGTAGTTTTCCTTCTCTGTGTCGGCAAAGAAGTCAGTGGCGTGGAGGAGATGGAGGGCGGTGGCATAGAGGTGTCGAGCCTCAACTTCGCCTACGAGGGCCTGCCGCCTCTTTTCACCAGGTTTAACCTCGACGTCTCTCCCGGATCTCGATGCCTCCTCGTTGGTGCCAATGGATCCGGTGATTCTTCCCTCCCCCACCTTCTCTTTTACCCTTTGAACCCTAAAATTATACCTCAAGGTTTCGCGTCTTTTTTGTTCTTGTTGTTGTTTGTTACTTTAGATATGCAGGATTCTCGCTCCATTCGTTTTGATGATCCTTTTTTGATGAGGTAAATCGAGCGCCTATTCTTGGAATTTAGACTCAGTTATTTCCGAAACTTTATTGTAAAAGAGAAATTCGGTTGATCATCCTATATAATCAATTGATTGAATTGAATTCGTCATTGTCTTGTTTATATGCTATGATGGTTTGAAGCGACTGGTCACCATTAGGTCCAGTAGTACGTGCAATTGAGAAATGGGATTATAAAAATTGGATTTACTATGCATCTTGTTTGGGTCGATAATCGATACAATTATCAAATTCAAATTCACTGTTATAATATGGAAAAAAATGTATTCCTCACTTTTGATAAAAAAAAAAGTTGAATTGTGCTTTTCTGAATTTAAAAGTTAGAAAATAGAGGGAACTAGAAGAAAGGTAGGAGACAAGGAGGATGAGCAGGAGTGAAAGAGAGAACAAGAATTACATCAACTGAGGGCCAATCAAGATTTCTAATGATCAAAGCCTCCAGTCTCCACCAATCTGAGTTCGAACATTCTGAGAAATTTTTTGGTTGTTCTCGTTCTAGAAGTGGAAATCTAAACCTAAGAACAATCATGTTTCTACTAACATTTCTACTTGTTTAAATTCTCGGCTTCAACTTATTTAAGGACCGAATGCCTTAGGCAGGTGATCGGTGATTTTCTATGGGAGGAACAAAGACCATATTTGCTTTTGCACTTTGATTTCTCTTTTTTAGATTTGTCTTTCAAGGTTTTTGATGAACTGCTAATGTATGAAAAATTCTAACTCTGCCACTTGAGGAGGTTTCTATAACTGCTTAGGAGCATAATGGACCCATTGGTGAGTGTTTAAGAAAGAAAATTCAACTATACCATTTTAGTCCTTCCCAATTTTGAGTCGTTGAGTGCGATGCATGAAGTGTATCATAATATCCTATGCACTTTCTCGATATGCATGCTAATCAAGAGGTCATCCAACTGTTAGTAGTGGCTGGTGTTTACCAACCTCATATTTCTTTCATACTTCTGCAGGTAAAACTACACTTTTGAAGATTTTGGCGGGAAAGCACATGGTTGGAGGAAGGGATGTAGTGCGTGTTCTTAATGCTTCTGCATTTCATGATACACGGCTTGTCTGCAGTGGTGATCTTGCTTATCTAGGGGGCTCATGGAGCAAAACTGTTGGATCTGCTGTGAGTTCATAATCTTTCTTGATATCATCAAACAGAAGAATATTGGAATATCATGATTATTTTTTATATGTCTTTTAACCTTATGACATTATTCCCATAATTTATTTTAATCAGAGACCCTTATCAATTAGAAACAGGGAAATTTTTTATGTAGCATTCTAGTTAATTAAGCTTATATTATCTAAATTTAACTTGGAAACTCCTGGTATTTGACATATGCAGTCTGGATGACTCTAGCAATTAACAACATAAGTATCTTGTTAGATGGTAAACATCTTATCGAAGTCCCTGATTTACAAATACTTGGACATGTGACACAAAATTCAAGTTAGTAGAATGATAAAGTAACAGATCATCTGTAACAATATTTGCTAAACCCTATACAAACTGACATATAGGCATGGATTAATAAATTTATAAAAATAGTTTGGTTTAAGAGGATAGATTATCTCACTCAAAGTTTTCCTGTCATTTACCCAGGGAGATATTCCACTCCAGGGTGATTTTTCTGCCGAGCACATGATTTTTGGAGGTATGATACTAAATGGGAATTTGTATAATGAGAGATAAATAGTTACGTACTTGTTAGCCTTGTGCTTTTCCAAATCTTTAGGAATTTGTGTGTACTATTGCGTAAATATTTTTAAATTATAGAAAATTTATGCTAAGTTGACCACCATAGTAATTGCCTACAGAAGTGATATATGTATATGTTGAATCTTGGATTATGATGATGAAACTAATTGATGAGTTTATTGAACTAATTTGCTTTTGAGATAAATGACGCAGGAAATACTTCGATCATGGACTCGGATCATCGAAGGGCCAACTGTTGAGAAAGAGAGTTGAATGTTGCGTCGGAAAATTATCATGTCAAAAATTGGATGTTGAGCCGGAGGATTGGTCAACATGCCAAAAATCAGACTTCAAGCTAAAGGTTTGGGCATCATGCTGGAAGGATCGGATGTTGCACCAGAAGGTTGGATATCATGAAAAAATCGACATACCGATATAATGGGTGATGTGCTAAAAGAAAAGGCGATGTGCCGGAGGTTCGGACGAAATGCTGGAAGATCGGACAACATGCCGGAATAGTGTATAATGTGTTGAAAGCTTCGTAAATGTGTTGTATGTGTAGTTGATTTATCGAAGTCTTGATTGAGGTCATTATGGGTAAATTTGAATTGGTATTTAGTCGAAACCAAGGATTTTAATTTCGAATGATATCGCTCGTACTGAGCAGTACGTACCAGTTCGCTAGCAGATCGGTACACAGACTGCCCATTACCGGGTGGTATCAGCCTGACTGCGGCGAGGGAAGAAGAAGCATCGAGGGACAACCTGGTTGCGGCCTGGTTGCAGCAAGGGAAGAAGAAGTTGTTAGGACTTTAGCTAAGAGAGTCCTAATTGAGTTTCATTGAAAGGGGCATTCATGTAAAACCTACCTAGCCAATCCCTATTAAAGAGGTGAAGAGGCCGGCTAAGAATAGGATTAGTTTGGAGGTTGCTTCTTAAAGAAGCATTAGGAGTTGGTTAGAAGTAGGAGTCTTGAGTAGGAGTCCTATTAGGAGTTGGTTAGAAGTAGGATTCTTGAGTAGGAGTCCTATTAGGAGTTGGGGTTTAGAAGCCCTATAAATAGTCATGTATTCATCCTCTTTTGCAAGGAATAGATGAATCTTTTTAGTAGCCTTTGAGCAGCAACCTAGAGGAAGGAACCCCTATAGAGTTCCAAGGAGGCCGATCCCCTAAAGAGATCAACCCTAAGCTTAGAATCCGTAAGGGTTCTAAAACTTGGTATTAGAGCAGCGTTCTTGGCGTCTCGTTGCCCTTCCACAACTATCCATCAGCCCTCCACAATCGCCCAAAGCAATTCCCACAATTGCTTAAAAGATCGTCGCCGAATTCCACCATCATCTCCACCACCGCGAATCATCCTTTGATCTCCCCGTGAATTGCAACAGGTTCTGGTTTTCTACCTTACTATTGTTGCAATTTAGTTATCCTTATTCAAAAATCCAAAAAAATTGTTCCTATATTGCTACATAAACTTTTCGTCGTAAAGTTTTCATCTCTATGACGAAAGATGCACTGCAGAATTCTAGCCGTATAGCACAGTTTGTTTGATCTTGCTACTGTGTTTTTTCGGTCCAAATCTCTACGAAATTTTTACGATAGCCTTGACACTTCATAATAGCGGATTTCCCTTTGGTTTCGTCAAAAAATTCTCAATATAAACCACTGACCTTTTACGTCTAAACTACTACACTTTAGACGTAAAAACCTACTATAGTACCTTTCCGTGATCCTCAATTTTTTCGAACCTTCCACCACCCCATGCCATTAACCCGTCAACAGAATCAATTTAAGAACACATGTTCCTGGACCTCCTCCTCCATGGGGCTCTGACGTGGAATCAATTTAAGAACACACTGCTGAATCGTTTCGGACCTACGGAGTATGAAAATATCGATGGCTAACTCGCAAAGATTTGACACACCTCTACGATTCAAGAGTACCAAACCAGGTTTGAGAAGCTATCCTACCTTGCTTATGATTGGACTGGCTGTCAATTGTTAGGAACATTCATCGAAGGACTCAAGCTAGAGATAAAAGGGGAGGTTAAGGCACGACAACCCCGTACCGTGACAGCTGCGATTTCTTTCGCCCGAATACAAGAAGAATGACTCAACTAAGATGCTCGGAGGATGAGAACCTCTCCTGCCCGTGACATATCAACCTCCTTCTGCCACCAGTCGTCATTCGTTGCCAAAAAAATTGACAAGAGAAGAACTACGTGACCGATCAGAAAGGATCTTTGTTGGCATTGCGACGAGCCGTGGAACCACGATCATTGCTGCAAAAGGGGCCGCCTCCTACTGATTAAACCTCTTGAAGACATGGAGGAAGAGGTCGCGAATGAAAAACAGCAACCGGTTGATATTACGAAGCATGCCCTTGCCGGTTACGCGAACCTGCAAATGATGAAAATGGGTGGACTTCTGAAGCAACAACCTGTCATCGTTCTTATTGACACCGGGAGCACTAATAATTTTATGAACAGTAAAGTTGCTGTCCGGATGGCCTTACCTATCGAGAATTGTAGTAGGTTTAACGTTAAGGTCGCCGACGGACGAATTTTGAAGTGTGATCATAGGTGCCCGCGGGTGAAACTATTGCTATAGGAGCAAGAGATAACTGCAGATTTCTTCCTCCTCCCTCTTGATGATTATGAGGCCATGCTCTGCATCGAATGGCTGACGACATTAGGTGATGTTTCCTAGAACTTTGTGAAACTAATTATGAAATTTTACAGTAAGGGGAAACATGTGATATTGCACGAGAAACGTGGGGGCGACGTAACGACGATTTGCACACAACGAATGGAGAAGGTTTTGCACAAAGCATGCAGCGGCTTTTTGGTACAACTTGAGCAGCAAACTAAGGGAGAGTCAATAGAATTTGAAGATCCAAACCTACTTCCTTTGCTTGCTCAATTTTCAGATATATTTGACGAACCACACAACCTACCTCCTACCCGTCGGCATGATCATTGTATATCGATTCTTCCGGGCAAACCTCCAGCAAATACTCGGCCATATCAGTATCCACATCTCCAGAAGGATGAAATAGAAAGGATTGTAAAAGAGATGCTCGAAACAGGAGTTATTCGGCCAAGTTACAGCCCCTACTCTTCACCGATACTCCTCGTACGAAAGAAGGACGGAACATGACGAATGTCCGTTGATTACCGAGCTCTCAACGGCATAACCTTCAAGGACAAATACCTTATTCCAGTAGTAGATGAATTGCTTGATGAATTAAAGGGACCACGAGTCTTCACAAAGCTGGACCTTCGATCCGGGTATCATCAAATACGAGTGTGCGAAGAAGACATACCGAAAATCGCCTTTCAAACACACAACGACCACTACGAATTTTTTATAATGCTCTTTGGTCTCACCAATGCTCCCTCTACCCTCCAGAGCCTTATGAATGATATTTTCCGGGATTATCTTTGTAAGTTTGTGCTGGTTTTCTTCGACGATATCCTTATTTACAGTCCTTCTCTTGAAAGTCATTTTCAACACTTACGACTTGTTTTTACGATTTTGCGAGAACATGTTCTTTTTGTGAAAAAATTGAAGTGCAGCTTTCTTCAACAGAATGTCACGAACAAACTTCTAAACAGGATGTTTGATGTAATGCTTATGTATGTCCGTGTCTTTTGGTATGTTCATGCTTTGCACAGCATGTAGAGGGACGACTGAAGGCTTAATAGTCTCATTTTAGTTAGGTTTGGTGGTCGTTTTAGGCTTGTAAATAAAGGTTGTGTCATGTGGACACTTGTGAGAGATTTTCGGTCTGTAATGGATCATTTTGACCCTTTGTTGTGTAACTGTTCAGAGCTTGTAAAGTCTATTTGTAATTTGCATTGTCTATGAAGTGTTTTCGGAAATATTTGCTTGTGGATCCCGAGTAAGGCGTTTTTTCTAACCCGTTTTCTCTTTTGTGGGTCCTAAGGGACCATGGGAGGCTTCGGGGAGGCTGACCTTTGCGGACGGACACGCAAGGGTGCCTCACGACTTCAGCAAAACCAGCTAAGTCCGTGACAAGAAGGTGGAATATCTTGGGCATATCATATCAAAGGAAGGTGTGGCGGTGGACCCCTCTAAAATTGAAGCAATGCAGAACTGATCGACTCCGAGGAACATAAAATCGCTACGTGGCTTTCTCGGTTTAACAGACTACTACCACAAGTTCGTGAAAAACTATGGAAAGATCAGTGCACCCCTTACTTCCTTGCTGAAAAAAAATGCTTTCCAATGGTCGGACAAAGTCACCACCGCCTTCGACGAACTTAAAGCTGCAATGACGACAACGCCCGTACTAGCGCTAACCAACTTCGGCAAGACTTTTGTTATTGAAGCCGATGCCTCCGGAGTCGGAATTGGTGTTGTACTAATGCAAGATAGCTGCCCCCTCGCTTATACCAGTAAGGCATGATCTCCTTCCCATCTCAGGATGACTATTTACGACAAGGAGATGCACGCGATTGTGCATGCAATGACCAAATGGAGACCGTACTTGATCGGGCGACGCTTTCAAATCAAGATCGACCATAAAAGCCTAAAATATTTCTTAGAGCAGAAGATATCTGCCCCATAGCAGCAAAAATGGATAACAAAGCTTCTTGGATATGATTATGAAATAACTTACAAAAAGGGGAAAGAGAATGTTGTTGCAGATGCGCTTTCGCGGCTACCTGATTGTTGGTGAACCTTTACGCCGTGGTCGAGGTGTTAGCATGGCTCGGTCCGGTCTCGGATGCACAAGGTCGCCCACGCGGATGCTCGGGTGGTGAGGGCGAGTGTCGGGTCGGGTCGGGTCGGGTTCGAGCCTCGTCCCCTGAGCGCGGTCTTCTCTCTTGGCAAGTGGCATGCTTCTTCGTCGCTAAGCTCCTGCACATAGGTCAAGGTCCGGAGGGGGATTTCTCGACTCGACCCCTTTGAAACTTAAGTTAGCTTTTGGTGGAATGAGAGAGAGTTCAGTGTTCGAAGTGCCTCCCCTTCTTGATTAGGGAGGGTTAGCTTTTATACCTGCGAGGATGAGTTGGTCGTACGGGGTCAATTTACTGCGGCCGGCTCGTCGGGCAGCCGACTTAAGTTTTTGTACGAGCGTCGATCGACCTGCACGGATCGGCGTCGCTCGGCGTCGACCGACCTGCACGGATCGGCGTCGCTCGGCATCGTCCCGAGCTTTCCGGGGTGGCTATATTGTGATGATGTCGTTCATATGGAGGGGGCGGCAAGTGGTTGCCCGCCACGTGTGTGTTGCGTGCCACATCGTACTTGAGGTTTCATGTCTGCATTGTCGTGTCTGCTTGCTTGGGTCCACGTGGGCGATGCCAAAATATACCATATCATTCTCTCTCCCCCCCCCCAAAGAGGCGTGCCCCGGGTTCCGTGTGGGGGGCTCGGGGTATGGCTTGGTGCCTTTTGTTGGTTGGGTTGGTTGTCGTGTTGGGAGTGGTGGTTCGATCGTCGGTTGATCATGAGCTTCTATTCAGGAGATGGACTTGCCGAGATGTAATTCGGACATTGGACTGGCCACAAGGCGTGGCTTGGGCATTTGACTAGCACCGAAGCGTGGCTCGGGCGTTGGATTTGGCCGAGATGCGACTCGGGCATTAGATTGGCCGCGAGGCATGCCTTAGGCATTGGACTGGCTGAGATGCGACTCGGGCATTAGACTGGCCGCGAGGCATGGCTCGGGCATTGGATTTGGCCAAGATGCGACTCGGGCATTGGACTAGCCGCGAGGCGTGGCTCGGGCGTTAGACTGGCCGAGATGCGACTCGGGCATTGGACTAGCCGCGAGGCGTGGCTCGGAAAGCTGTAACCTTTACCCGTCTCGGACTCAATATGGACTGATATATCAATAGACTTTATCGAAGGGCTTCCCTTATCACAAGGAAAAAAGGTACAATTTTTGTCGTGATGAATCGCCTTACAAAGTATGCTCACTTTTGCATTGTTTGTACTCCCTACACTACTTCTAGTATGGCTCGAATCTTTATGGAGAATATTGTAAAATTGCATGGGAAGCCGAGATCTATTGTAAGTGATCGTGATAGGGTCTTCACGAGCAGATTTTGGATAGAGTTAATCCAGATGCAGGGCACTAAATTGAAAATGAGTACGGCGTATCACCCACAAACCGATGGCCAGACTGAAGTGGTGAATAGGTGCTTGGAGACATACCTCAGATGCTTCACCAGTGACTAGCCAAAAAGTGGACAAAGTGGCTTCCCTAGACCAAGTGGTGGTATAATACAACTTATCATTCATCCACAAAATGTACTCCCTATAAGGCTATGTATGGTCGACACCTCTAAAGTAGAACAAGTAGATAGGGAACTAGGGAACTACAGGACAGAGACAAAATGTTGAAGTTGTTAAAAGATAATCTCACTGCAGCTTAAGCAAGAATAAAACAACAATATGATCAACACAAAGGCGAAAGAGAATTTTCAGTAGGAGATTGGGTCTTCCTACGGCTCCAGCCATACAAGCAAACATCAATCCAGACTAAGAGCATCTATGAATCTTTCACCTCGGTTCTATGGACCTTACCAAATTTTGGAGCGCATTGGAGCGGTAGCGTACAGATTGAACTTACTTGCCAACTCCCGAATCTTTCCAGTCTTTCATGTGTCGTGTTTAAAGCTCAAGCTGGGACAAAACGAGACAACCCAAAGCCATCTACCAAATATGACTACCTAAGGAGAACTCCAAACCCAGCCGAGTGCCATTATTGATCGACGGATCGTGACTCGACGACGATGACCTACTACTGAAGTGCTAATACAGTGGGTGAACCTACCGACAGAAGATGCCACTTAGGAGAAATATGATGAAGATCAAATTCCCAGAATTCATGGATCGTCAACCTCGAAGACAAGGCTGATTTGAAGAGGGCGGATCTATTAGGACTCTAGCTAGGAGAGTCTTAATTGAAAGGGGCATTCATGTAAAACCTACCTAGCCGACCCTTATTAAAGAGGTGAAGAGGCCGGCTAAGGATAGGATTAGTTTGGAGGTTTCTTCTTGGAGAAGCATTAGGAGTTGGTTAGAAGTAGGAGTTTTGAGTACGAGTCCTATTAGGAGTCTTGAGTATGAGTCTTAATTGAGTAGGAGTCCTATTATGAGTTAGGGTTTAGAAGCCTTATAAATAGTTATATATTCATCCTCTTTTAACAAGAAATAAATGAATCTTTTTAGCAGCCTTTGAGCATCATTTTGGAGGAAGGAACCCTTATAGAGTTCCAAGGAGGCTGATCCCCTAAAGAGATCAACCCTAAGCTTAGAATCTGTAAGGGTTCTAACACATTCATGTAAAACCTACCTAGCCGATCCCTATTAAAGAGGTGAAAAGGTCGGCTAAGGATAGGATTAGTTTGAAGGTTACTTCTTAGAGAAACATTAGGAGTTGGTTAGAAGTAGGAGTCTTGAGTAGGAGTCCTATTAGGAGTTAGTTAGAAGTAGGAGTCTTGAGTATGAATCTTGTTAGGAGTTGGGGTTTAGAAGCCCTATAAATAGTCATGTATTCATCCTCTTTTGCAAGGAATAGATGAATCTTTTTAGCAACATTTGAGCAGCAACCTGGTGGAAGGAACCCCTATAGAGTTCCAAGGAGGCCGATCCCCTAAAGAGATCAACCCCAAGCTTAGAATTCGTAAGGGTTCTAACAGAAGTGTCGAGGGAGAAGAGGGAGAAGGCGTTCGAAGAAGAGGGGGGAGAACCTCGATGCTTTTCGATCCGGCGTCGCCCTCCCTCGATGATCCCGATCCAGGAGGTAATGGAGAGGCAACTGCTCGACTTCTTCACCACATCCTTCGTCGAAGGCTAGAGACGCCTACGACCTTCATCGCGTTCTTCGCCAAAGGTCGTAGATGTTTACGACCTTCGACGTCTTTGCCAAACGCCACAGATGAGGAGAAGATTGCATTCTTCTCCTCGTCGTGTCGCGCCAAAGGTCGGAGGCATTTGCGGCCTTCGACGTCTTCGTCAAACGTCGTAGATGAGGAGAAGATTGCGTTCTTCTCCTCTTCACGTCGCGCCGAAGGCCGGAGACGACTGCGGTGTTTAACGTCTTCGCCAAACGCCACAAATGAGGAGAAGAACGCGACGACTGCGGTGTTTAACGTCTTCGCCAAACGCCACAAATGAGGAGAAGACCGCGTTCTTCTCCTTATCTGACACAACGAGGAGAAGAAAAGGAGACAACGTCGTTGAGGCAATGTTCGCTTTCTTTTTTTAATATTATATTTATATATATATATATATATGTGTATATATATATACATATATATATACATATATACACACACATATATATATATATACATATATATATATATACATATATATATACGTTTCGAGCGGTATACCTTGGCGTACCGCTCAGTATGCCCGTGCCGAGTAAATCTCGAAATTAAGAACCTTGGTCGAAATTATGCTAACTTGTTAAGAAAACCATTGGGCTTGAACCAGAGCTGAATTAGGCCTATTAGAAGGTCAAACCGGTGGTCTAAACTAGGCCTGGGCAATGGTACCATTAGGCCTAAGCGGTAGTATCGCCTGAGTCAGCTGACAAATACTATTTATGTTTTGTCAATGTTTCCGTCAGTGGTACTGCTTATGTTAGTGGTAGTACCGCCTAGGCTACAATAGGACTGTCAAAGTCGATATTTGTAGCTTGGTTATGACGGTAGTATCGCCCAGTGCCGACGATAGTATCATCCGTACCTCGAAATTTTGGATTTGAATTTTTGGCTCTATTCTTGAAGCATTTTGGGTCCTATAAATATCCCACTTAGGCTTGGTTGATGGGGCATCTATTCCTGAGCAAAAAAGTGTTGTAAACGCTCATTTTGAGCATAGTTTGAGTTTCCTTCTCCTCTTGAGTTTAGTATACAGCCTAAAAAAGGAGGAAGTTGTAACAAGGGTAGTTGATATTCGCCCATTGAAAAAAAAATCGATACTGAAAGCCGGTGGCTTTGAGGAAAAAGGAACCGAAAGTGGACGTTGGTCGAGAAGATCGAACTACTATAAATTGGTTTGCCTCTCTTTACTTGTCCTTTATTTGTGACCTAGTTTTATTCTCTTTGCTTGCAACTTTAACTTGATCAATCAAGTTTCTGAAAGATGTTAATTTATTGATTGAGTTTTAAAATCAGTTAAAAACGCTATTGCATTAATTCACCTTCCCTTTTAGTGTCATTAATATATATATATATATATATATATATACATATTTCTTTGCTGATGTCCTTTCATATATCTTAATATATGTAGTTTTCCCTTTTTAGTGCGAATTCTGCTGATTGTTAAAACAAATGAAAATATAAATTATTCTTTTGCCATTACTTTTTTCTTGAACAGTTGAAGGGATTGATCCTGCCAGGAGAGAGAAGTTGATTGATCTTCTTGATATCAATCTGCAGTGGAGGATGCATAAAGTTTCTGATGGACAACGCCGCCGTGTCCAGATATGCATGGGTCTTCTCTACCCATACAAGGTTAATTTCTTTACTACTAATAATCTGCAAGTGATAGTGCATGCCATAGATATCACCAGGCTTATAGTTATATGGCTTATGTGGTAATAAGTGAATTAGTCGAAGATTTTTTGCTTAACATGATTTAGAAATCTATACTATTTTTTATACTGTTCTGCAGCACATCGGCTCTTAAATACTTTTGGGCAGAGAGGAGATAAAATGCAATTTTTTTATTGAATAGGCCTTAATTTTCTGTTCTTTGACCAGTGAACTATGAAATAGCAATTTCCTTTTTTTTTTTAATGAACAATAAAGAGCTATTGTATTAAGGAATCAACAAGAAAAAGCATCCAGATATGCTGCATTACATCTGAAGGAAAATCCTTGGGACCGACCACAGATCGTGAACCTATAAGCAATGCCATTGAGTTCTCTAGGCAAGTGGCAAAAAGACACTATGGAGAAAAGGTTGCATTGCTCTAATATTAAATATTATAGCCTGACGAAACCATGGGCCTTTGGCAAAGTCAAAGATTTGTTAGGCGTCTAGCGGAATCAAAATTCTGGAGATGTTGCAACACAATGCCTCGTTTATCCCCTCCAAAAGAGCAATACCCTGGGCCATTGCTTCATTGGATGCTTTGCAGGGGCCTCCAAAAATGGAAGCATTGGTTTCATTTCTGATGATGAAACCATACCCTGCAGAGGCAGAATTAGCCAAATATGAGCCGTCACTCTCTAAAACAGTCATATGCTAAGAATCATCAGCATAGGTGTTAGTCATTTCACTCCTTCGCTTAGCAATTTCCTTGTTGATTACAAGACTTAGCCATGCAAACTTTCAGATTCTGTGATTGTTTTATAAGAAAATTGAATTAGTGATAAGGATTATATAAATCAATTTGATGTTAAATCTTATTCATAGCCATAATATTGCTTCTTAAGATCTGAAAGGAATACAGGTTCTTCTGCTTGATGAGGTTACAGTTGATTTAGATGTTGTCACAAGAATGGATCTCCTCGAGTTCTTCACGGAAGAATGTGAACAGGCATGGTTATCCAAACAACAACTTGCATTGGTCATTCTTCTTTTTCACTTGTTTTCATTTTCTGATGTACTACAATCTTGTTGTAGAGAGGAGTTATCATTGTTTATGCAACCCATATTTTTGATGGACTGGAAACATGGGCAACGCATGTGGCATACATCCAAGATGGTGATTTGAAGAGGTCAGGAAAACTTTCAGACATCATTGAACTGAAAAGTGCCAACAATTTGCTATCAGTTGTTGAGTCATGGCTTCGATCAGAGTCAAAACTCCCAAAAAAGGAACTCATCAAACCTATCAGCGCTGTTGCCAGATCAAGTACGCTCTCTCCTTTTGATTCATCTCCTTTTAGATCATCTCGGCATATGGCATACTACCGCTGATTATAGAAAGCTAGTGTTCAGTTCATCTATGGCTATTTCACTATTTCCATCTCATTTCTTTGCTATATGATGTGGATTTTTTTTTTTTTCCCGTTCTCTTCTGAGTTCTTCCCACTGAAAGAATCCAAGTAAGATGGACCATGAAATACTGATGTACTTGAGAAATTCTGTGGTAGCAAGATATGCTGTGATGATGCTTCAGATTGTCTTTAGTGAGTAAAAAAGATTATCTTATTTTAGTTGTCAATTTTTACTATGAGTGAAAAATTGGATAATATGGTTTAAGATAATATAAATTTTATTCATCAGCTTCTTGAGTCAATTACCTCTGATTCTGTCGTGTGTTGGAAAATTGCTGCTACTAGTCAAGATTTTTTTACCTTTTACACCTGTGTCATCTTGCATGCTGTTGACGATGATGGCACATACTAAATATTTTCTAGGAAATTCGCCCAAACACCAAATAACAAAACATATAATACCTCCCACTAATAGTCACAACATATATTCTATATATATTGTCACTATATATATTCTATATTACTCCTGTGTCGATGACTTTCATATTTATTGATATAGTGGTGTTACTAACCAGAATAATGAGGGTGGTGTTATGGTTAATGAAGATATAAGAATAGTGACCATCAGAGATGATAGTAATATTTGTGGAAGCATGTAGTTGTCCCAACAAGGAGAGGAATGAAATACCCATGTTATTACGAAGTATGCCAAATCGGGAAGAAGTTGACATTTATTTTTTTTAAAAAGTAATAATTCTTTTGTAAAATTTTCTCAATTTACGAGTATTTTTCAAAAAAAATATATAGTATAATTTTAACGAGAAGAAGAATAGATTATAGAGAAATAAAAAATAATACCCACAATGCGTCAACAATAAAGATATAATGAGGAAAATTGATGACGACGGTGGTGTCAAGCATGATAAAATGATGAGGAAAACAAAAGTCAATTAAATTAAATAAATTACTTTAAAATTTATTAATGATTTTTATATCATAAATCCTTTTTTTTTATGATAAGCCAGCGATGAATACAAGTGGAAGCCTCCAAAAACACCCTCTCGTCGTGTGCTTCGTTAACTCCGTGCCCCGCCACTTCCAACTCTCATCTTCGCTTCCGCGCTCCGCCTCCCGACAACCGCCTGGAGTCCCGCCTCTCTCGCCGCCGCCCCCAGGGCTTCTCCAATCGAAGTAGAGAATGGCTCAAACCGTCCACCTTCTCTCTCCTCCGACGCCTTCCCGGCCCCTCTCCAATCTCCTTCTCCGCCCCCCTTCTCCCCCTGTCCTCCGGCTCCTTCCCCACTTCTCATCCCACCGCCACCTTTGTCGCTTCCATCCTTGTGGCGCCTCCACCACCCCTTCCTCACCGCTGGATCTCGGCCTCCGTGCCTCCGACAACGGCGCCAGTAACCTCGCCGCAGCGGCCGTGGCATCGGCAACGATTGATGTCGACGCCGTGACCGAGGCCGAGCTGAAGGAGATTGGTTTCCGGAGTACTAGGCGGACGAAGCTTGTGTGCACGATTGGGCCGGCCACCTGCGGGGCTGAGCAGCTGGAGGCGCTCGCCACTGGTGGGATGAATGTGGCGAGAGTAAACATGTGCCACGGCACTCACGAATGGCATCGACAGGTCATTCGCCAGGTCCGACAGCTTAACAAGGAGGTTTGCGGTCGCTGTGATGATGGATACTGAGGGCAGTGAGATCCACATGGGTGACCTTGGTGGCGCTGCCTCTGCTAAGGCCGAGGTGAAGTTTCCTGACCCTGTCAAAATAAATCTGCTTCCTCTTTGGTTGTTATCAATTTGTCTAAATGATGTTATTGCCACTTTTGACAGTGCCACAGACCTAGATCCTTTTTCTTTTTTAATGGGTGCAAAAATGTTAGTTGATGACCTTACCGTATGATTCATGATGTTTATCTTGTTTTATATTTTAATCATTACCACATGCAAGTATATATATATATATATATATATATATATATATATATATATGTATATATGGGCGATTGCTTGGGAAAATATCCATTTTTTGGGATTTTCCGGGATGGTACCCCCTTTTTAAAATTCTCAAACCATCACCCCCTATTTTTAATATTCCAAAGATTCCCCTTAAAAATTGTCATTTTTTCCTGTCCAAATCTAAAGTTTTCCCGTCAACTGTTTATAGTGTTTTGCTTTAAAAACACTATAATAGTGTTTTGTGGATAAAAAACAACCCACAAAACACTGTAAATTGTTGGTGAGAAAGCACTGTGAACAGCTTTTGGGGGGGGGGGGGATTATTTTGGGGATTTTTGAAATAGGGGGGTGATGGTTTGGGAATTTTGAAAAGGGGGTACCATTCGAGAAAAACCCAAAAAGAGGGTATTTTCCCAGCAATCGCCATGTGTGTGTGTGTGTGTGTGTGTGTGCATGTGGGAAAAATGAGTTTTTCGATTTAGTTGGAAGATTTTGACCCATGATATTTTGCTTTCTTTATATTTTGCACATGTCAGATGCAAGAATAAGATATTGTAAGTTATTTCCATTAGAATATATATTTTATCAGGGAAAATTGAGTTTATTCATTTGATTGGAAGGTGCTACACATTATATTCTGTATTTTGTTTTTCGAGTTCATTTCGTATTTTGGTCTCCGTCACTGAATGATTCTTTTTTCTCATCCTCCAATTCCAGCCGCCAATGCTGCATCTTCTCATGTTTCTCACCAAGATTTTGACTTAACTCTTAACTAAATTAACATGTTTGTCAAATAACCTCCAATCATTTGTGGCTTTGATTGGAGGAGATGAGGTTGCGACAAAATTATTAGTAGCCACAATATGTATTTAGCTCCTGGACGCCATTACTTACTCAAAATACAAACTTTAGTTAGTGAAAATAAAACGAGCAATAACTATGCTATGCCACATTGCACACCTTTAATTGCTAATATCATGATTATAGGAATTAAGCCATATTCTTATTATAGTTAGTATTAAATTTCATGTTTAAAATTTAAATTTTCTAAATATGTTGACAACCTTCATGTTAGTCTTTGGTAAAAATATTATAATAAATCATTTGAATGTAGCTTGGTTTTCTTCTTCTTTACGCTTTTCTCATCTTGCCCACACTTTTATTCAAATTATGCTTATAGGCATCTGAGACAAGAGCTTTTAACTAATTTTGGACTCAATCCCTTGTAGAAGTTTTGTAAAATTGGAATTTGGTTAGGGAGCTAGCACTTGAATGGATTGGGTCGCTATTGAGTAGATCAGGCTCTAAATTTGGCTTTTTTTAAAACAATGTTAAATTAGTTGGAAAAGCTTGAAATTGTATGAGATTGCTTTATGATCAGATCTAGTTTGGTGTATCCCATTGGTATATTCAAAGTAACTTTACCTTCTCAGCACCTGTCAAAATTCTACTAATTATTTTCATAGTTGATGTAGAAAGTAGGATCTGGGAAACATACAAATATATAGTTGATACAGGGTGTGTTAAGTAACTGAGTGCCAAATTGTGATTGCAGATGTACATTTATGTATTTTATGTATCATTATCCAGGGAATGCTTGATTTCTATTGATATTCTAGATTCATTTTGTAGGTGCTGAGGATCTTTGAATGTTTTATACACCTTTTTGCTGCAATGTCAACATGTTTTTGGAGGAAAATAGCATGTTGTTAGGATCAGTATCATTTAAATAACTTTATGTACTCTAACACAGTATTTTTTCATACTGGAAAAGACTAGCCTGAAGTTACATAGCACATGCTGACACTTAAAGGGTTCCTTCCTACCATGGGTCAGTTTGGATTTTACAATCATTTTAGATGCAAGAACTAGCTTTGCAAGCTAATACTACATTGAACTTTTTTGGCATTCATGTGATATTTAGGTGTTCTCATTGATATTAAAATGTAACTCCACTTTTTTCCTTATCGACCGAGTAACTACTGTTAGTGCTAGCATCATCCAGTGTCACTTTCATGTTTGTGGTCATGTACATTTCCCTTGAACAATTATACTGCTATATCAATTAAGAGAGAATTCAAATAAAGCTAAAGCTATTCTATTGACCACATTTTTTGTTTCAGGTGGAGAAAAAGATGGATTCGTGCTAGCTTGAAATAAAATATCATTTTAAAAAACATATTCTTTTTTGCTTTTCACATTTTAGTTCTCTTTTTGATAGTTCAGAAAATTTTGGCTGGAAATTTCTTTTCCATATTAAGTTTAAGTTGGAATTTTGGAGTCCACATGCTATTGAGGGATTACCTTGTTCTTGAAACATTCTTAATAAATATTGCTTCAAATTTAGAAGTTGTGTGCCATTGAATGCGATGACCTTGTTCCTGAAACATCCTTGATGGATTTTGACCGTCTTACTTTTGCTGCTACTGTGAATTGTCTTAAATCCACTGGCTTCTACATGCTAGACTGATTAAAGTTGCTACTACTGGTAAATTAAGGCATATTCAGGTATATCAAAATCCATGTTTCTGATACCTCACATTTTATCCATTTGGATGAATAGTTATTTAAGACATTGCTTTATGCAGGATGGTGAAATTTGGACATTTAGTGTAATAGCTTTTAACTCACCTCTTCCAGAACATACAATCCATGTGAATTATGATGGCTTTGCTGAAGGTTAAGGCCTTAAAATTCCATCTTTATGTTGGAGATAAATTAATAGTTTTTTTTTTTTAAATGAAGAAACTAATCCAACTTCTGATTTGATTTTCAAAATAATTTGGACATACTTCAGATGTAAAAGTGGGTGACGAACTTCTTGTGGATGGAGGAATGGTCAGGTTTGAGGTGATTGAGAAGATTGGTCCAGATGTGAAGTGTCGCTGCACCGATCCTGGGTTGCTACTACCACGCGCTAATCTTACATTCTGGCATGATGGTAGCTTAGTGCGTGAATCTAATGCCATGCTTCCTACAATTTCTTCTAAGGTTGTTGCATCCTTGTCTATCCTCATTTTGTTAGAAATTTTCACAAACAAACTAGAAGCAAATGTACTAAGCACATGTTACCAATGTCTTTAATCAATCATTAAATTACAGTTTTTTTGTTACATTATGAATTTCTTTTCACTAACATGTTTGAGTAAAGATTGATTTGATTTATACATAAATTTGACGCACATTTTATCTTACTTATTTAAGATCTGACGAACTTTCTATATTATCTTTTGGCGGGGTGGTTGGATGGCTGCCTAATCCTTCTCTGGCAAAGTAGCATCTGCAGCATTTTGAGCAGTGACCTGAACATATCAATCATTAAATT